TTCTCGTTTTTACATTCTCTGTCATTTTACAGATTCAACTAAAGTACCTACTTTTTTATTAAGACAAACCCGCCACAGCCTCGTAATACCGCTGCAACTCCTGTAACCCAGGATCTACAGTAGGTACAATCTTGAATTCACCGGAACACTGAACTCTCGTCGTGTCCCACGGACACGACGTAACGCAAACGTAACGTGACCATACGTCCCGCTTCGGGCAGGACTGTCCTGCTTTCAGACTGTCTGTCCCGCTGTTCCCCGCAAGAGCAAAAATGTCCCGCTTTAGCTTTAAGAATGCATCTATCGTTTTTAAACGTAACAACTGTGAGGGCGACACAGTGCGACAAATACAAAAATACGACTTAGAAGTCACCCCACTACTTATCTGTTTTGTGTTTAGTGCTTTGATTTGTGTTATTCAATCTTCTATAAACTTGTAAAACTCCCAAAACTTTGGTTTATTTTATAATTCCGGAGGTTATTTTTTAGAACTATTCCTAAGATAAGTCCCGCTTTAATAAATAAAAAGAAAATAAATGGTCACGTTATTTATTAGCCACAATACATTCACTCTTGAACATCCCATTGACTACCAGATAGGCTGGTTGAAAGCCCTGTTTATGAAATCCCAGTTTACTTAGAAGAGGTTCTAATTCTGTTGCTGAGAATTTCCATACCATTTGATATGGACACTTGGAACGCCAAAAGCTTTACAAATGCGTTACCTGCCTTTTGGGGATTAGAAGTTTAAGGATTGTTGGGGATTCAGGGATTGAAGAGATTGGGGAAGGGGAGGGCGGGTCTTGTTGTCTAATTGGGCCTCCGGGAACCTAACTCACATGACGCAAGCGTTGCTTCAGGTCAGTTTTCTGTGAGGTCGTGGTATCACTCCGGTCGAGCCGTCGCGTTCGTGTCGAGGCATGGCTCTCCCACACTTATTTTATCTGTCGGCTTCATCGTTGGTGTAGCTAACAATCGCAGTTCTCCGAAAGAATTAGGCCAGGGTTGTTGGGAAATAAAACACTGAATCCAGACTTACATCTAAACATCATATTTCTTTCAGTTTTGACAGCAGTAACGGCTGAAAGCTGCCACTTGATATCCATACTAATATTATACATGAGATAGCGTGTTTGTTCTACTTTTTTATTTGGCCTGTATATATAAAATTCGGATTTTCTTACATAGGTACTCGTAGTTTAGATTGTACTCACAACTGTAACCAATAAATTTTTGCTCTAAAACACACTTTTACACAACACACGCCTACACCCTACCTTTCTTCTTCACCTTATATGTATAGGTACTTGAATTTGACAATGTAGATATTCATTATTTTGTATTTTCTATAATGTGGTTATTAGTAGCATATGGTTTAGACTTGGGTCCAATATAAACCGTTCGTTTTGTAGGTTTCGGATAATTGTGCGTGGTCCAAATATAATACCGGAAGTTTATGCATCTCTGCTCCACACAAAGCAGGTACGTGTTTAAGATATAGCTGGTGTTAATTGACATATTATTATATTCTATTTCCAGGTGAAATAAACTTGAACGTGGCTTCGAAAGTATCGCGCGAGGAGCATCAAGGTTGAGTAGCTTGCGCGGTAAATGCAGGAGTAAAAATAGACGGAACCCAATGCTCGCTTCATGGTGCTGTTCCACTGTTCTACGCGTTATGCGTCAGCGCACATTCAGGTATCACTCGTTATCATAACAAAATAACGACACCTTTACTTCTCAGCATATGAGAAATCGTAGAAGTGACGTGCGATGACGTTATCTTCGGTTCGTTAATAATTTGCTTGTAAACACTACGTGCTGTTTTTCAATACTTTGATTTGACATCGTGATTAAGTTTCCAAGAACGTAGGTCTTACTGAACGTCTATAAATAAATGTATTCTGGACGACATGGTTGGTGCGGTGGCTATACCCAGGCTGCCGCGCAAGGTGTCGTGGGTTCGATTCCCGCACGGAGCAACTCTTTGTATGATCCACAAATTGTTGTTCTGGGTCTGGGTGTGATGTGTATGTGAACTTGTATGTTTTTAAACGCACTCATGATACAGGAAAAAATCCAAGAGTGGGGTACCGTTTAAAATAGTTGAGTTTCATATTTGGAGCCCATTTATTAAAATCCTTTTGTATAAGTCATTCGTTACAAAACTGATTTTTTTTGTCTAACATAGTCAATAGAGGTTTACTATAAGTGTATGGTAACACAATTGTAATATTTTCAGTACAAAATATACTTTCATGGATGTGGAGCGAGCGAGCGCGTTGCACGTGATGAATGGAAAACAGGAAAATGCAGGCTAGATTCCGATACAGAACGTAACATCACGTCACAAACGCCTTACTAATCTCCAAAGAGGTGGGCACAAAAGCAATTATTTTCCAGTTATAAAGATTAACTCTCTTTGGAAATATTTTGAGGTCATAACACTTAACGATCACATTTGTAATACTATCGTGAGACATACTCAATTAATTGAAAATCGCGGGTTACTCACGTGAATATACTGAGAAAAGCTCTACTAGTATCGAACCACAGAGGGGTTCTTCCTCATGAGGAGCGTGCGCAGTCGCGGCGATGTCAGTAGGCTGCGCGACATCGCCGTATTGAAACTAGTAGAGCTTTTCTCAGTATATTCACGCGAGTAACCCGCGATTTTAGTTGACAGGTAAACA